TTAAAGCGCGACGGTGCTCTCCGTTCCAGGGAAAGCAGAGAAGAAGAAATGGAAGGAAATGAAGCTACTGAAGAAACTGGAAAAACAGCGGATGCGGGAGCTGGCAGAGAAACACGCTGAGAAGCAGGAGGAGCAGAAGGAAGACAAAGGTGATGGTGCCGTGACCCGATGGGGAGGCCGGGGTTGAAACTGCTGGGGGAACTGGGTTAAAAGTCAGTTTTACCTGTCCGTAGGAGGGGTGACGCTCAGCGTCACAGATATGGGTCAGTCCACACGCATCAACTGGCACGACCACGACGCAGCAAGCGCTGCACGAGAGGCCCGTGTTAAGAGAAAAGCGGTGGTTGAAAGCTAAGAAATAGAGGTTGTTGAAGTAGTGAACGCGATGCTGTACGTCACGCTGCCATCCCCTTCTCTTCCCCAGGGCGTCACTACACGCTGAGCGTAGCCCTGCCGGGCTCGATCCTGAACAACGCCCAGTCGCTGGAGCTGCGGACGTACCTTGCTGGGCAGATTGCTCGGGCCTGTGCCATCTTCTGTGTGGATGAGATCGTAGTGTTCGATGAGCACGGAGAGGATGTGAAGTAAGGAGGAGCCATCTTCTGCAGAAAGCGTTTCCTCTCTGTTTGTCTTCAGTCTTTTATTAAGCTGAGACCAGGAAAGAACTGTGTGTTGTCAAGCAAATGCTTGAACCTCTCTCAAATGCCAGGACTGCCACCGGGCAAAGATGTTGACTGAACTGCCCTGGCAACCAGGGTCATTTATCCCAGGAATGACAAAGCAGCAGGAGGTCAGGTCCCCCTGTACTCTTAAATCTTGCTGTGGAGGGTCAGGACATGCCTATATCCTTATGGAAGATGAATTACTGCTCCTTTGGCTTTTCACCTGGATGTGCATCTGGGTTATCTGGCCGAGCCATGCAATCCCATAGCATCCAATTGCCAGGTTGTGTCGCTACAAATATTAAAACACACCAACCTGAAAAGGGCATTGGGCCCACAAGAGTTCCAAATATGACTTGTTATGTCTCTGCCTGTGGAGTAGACTTTTTACAAGGTGGCCCAGTTATTTCTTGGGGGTGGAGGGAGGGTGTGCTGCTATTTTCAGATTCGTTTCTTGGTCTTCTGGAGCCTTGACCACTCCGGGCTGCGCAGTCTCATACTGAGTTCACAAGCTGCTTTCTTTCAGGAGTGTGGAGGGGGACTTTGAAGGAATCGGGAAGAGAGGCAAGGCGTGTGTGCAGCTGGCTCGGATCCTGCAGTACTTGGAGTGTCCTCAGTAAGTCCACCATGGTCACACTGTGCACCAGAACTGACTGCAGTGGGTATCGCCCGCCAGAGGCTAAACTCTGCTTATGTTGCATGATTATGCAGCTTCTGGTTGTTTCTTATGTCTGGTTCAGGAGTTTAACTGCAAGAACAGCAGTGAATGCAGGATACAGCCTGCATGCTACATTATGGTTAGATCAGGGACTTGGAGGAGCTCCTTCAAATGCCTTTGAGTCAATATAGGATAAATTGAAGCTTAGATTCCATTTTCACATTTCAACCTTCTCTGATAACAGGTACTTGAGGAAATCCTTTTTTCCAAAACACGAGGATCTGCAGTTTGCAGGTAATGATTCAGATGTTTCTGTCCCAAGCTGTTGGCTCCCCCTTCCTGAACTCTGGCTCTTGTTTTGACAGAATTCATAGGATGGTTTGGCCTGGAAGGGACCTTAAAGCCCACCCTGTCCCATCCCCCTGCCCTGGGCAGGGACACCTTCCACTAGACCAGGTTGCTCCAAGCCTCATCCAGCCTGGCCTTGGACACTCCCAGGGATGGGCCATCCACAGCTTCTCTGGCAACCTGTCCCAGTGCTTCCCCACCCTCTCCGGGAAGAATTCCTTCTGGATAGCCAATGTAAAAACTCCCTGCTTTCAGTTCAAAGCCGTTGCCATTACCTTTTCCCACTTCAGAGTGCAGGTGCTGTGCTGTGGTATGCCCGACCGGAGAGGGAAGAGGCAGCAGAGCAGTTGTACTTACATCTCTGTCCCCACAGTCTGTGTCCTCTCCTTAGTGCATGCTTTTGTCTGTGCTGTTGTAGGGCTCCTCAACCCCCTGGACAGCCCCCACCACATGCGGATGGATGAGGATTCGGAGTACCGAGAAGGTGTAGTGTTGGACCGGCCAACTAAGCCAGGCAGAGGCTCTTTTGTTAACTGTGGGTTGCGGAAGGTATGTCTGTTACCCACAGATCCCAAAACAACTTCCCTGGCTCTCTGGCGCATTCCGAGCAGGCTGGGTGGGTGCTGCTGGGTTTCTGAAGGCCACAACAGGCTGGCACGGGGTTTCACACTGTTGCTGTCTTGTCCCTTCTGGCTCGTTGATGGTTGTGCCTTCCCGAGCCCCAGCAGGCCAGCCCATTCCAGCACATCACTGCTTCTCTGCTGGAGTTGAACCTTTGGGCAGCAAAACAAGGCTCAGAGTGCTGACCCAAACCCCCCTGAGCCTGCTGTGCACTGCACAGGCCCTGATCGCAGAGCTCCTCACTCGGGCTCCGGGCCGGAGCAGACCCCCACTTCCTCAGAGCATTCCCTTCCTTCCCCACCTCCCCCAGTACTTCCAGAAGGTCTGACGCTGATGGTGACTGTCCCTGCAGGAGGTACAGATCGACAGGCAGCTGAAACCCGGTCTGCGAGTCACTGTGCGCCTGGAGGAATCCCAGAAGCCAGGTAATCCGCTGCTCCCTTGGCATTGGTGAACTTCATTCCTGCGGGAGTCGGTCCTTCCGTGACAGCCTCCAGATTACTGATGGTGGAAGCTCATCAGTACACAAGCTCTGCCTGTTCCCTTCTCCGCACACCGTTACAGTAACGCTCTTGCCATACTCCCTAGTTAACTGGAAGGGACTGCCAGCTCCCTGACCGACAATCAACAGCCCAACCACGCTTGCACGCTTTCCGGCCTGCGCTCCGAAGGGCGGTGCACGGTCGTACGCCGAGTCAGTGCCCTGCCCCAGGAGAAAACGCTGAATGTGGCTGGTCGGATCCAGCTCTCGCCAGGAGATCACGGGGTTGTTAATCCCTCTGCTTCCCTTTCAGAAACGAAAGCGCGGAAAGGCACCGTGGTGTCCTCGCACCACCCTCGGACAGTCTCGGGCTTGTACTGGGGTTACACTGTCCGCCTTGCCTCCTGCCTGAGTAAGTGTTTGCAGGGCTTCTCTGCTCTCCGCCGGGTCGCTGGGTTTCCACGCTGATTTCGGGGCTGCAGGTCTGCAGCACAAATTCACGTGTCTCTTAGAAATCCCGTTGCTGTCGAAGGCAGCTCACACGTGCAGCCAGCAGCCGTGTGGCAGTCAGATTTAAGGGGCGTGAGTTACCCCCAGTCACCCAGCAGTACTCTACCCTGTACCACCACTCACTGTTGCGCCGCACGTCCACGCTGTAGCAGGAGACGAGTTGGTGCTCTGTCTCCAGCCAGCATGTCTCCATTTCCATGGTAACTACCTCCCACTCATTCACGTCCACACCAGCAACAACATTTGAGCTCAAGAGCCCTGCAAAAACCTGTCTTTTGAGTGATTGGCCCTCCTGAGACAACTGTAAGCCATTAGTCAGGGAATGGTTCCTGGCACCTGTTTGAGCTTTGAGGAGAAGGTGCTGCAGTTGAGAAGGGCGCCAGAGACTCCTGCCGCAAGGGAATTCTGTAGGAAGGAGGAATCGTTCTTCTGTCTCCTGATGCACTGGTGGCAC